TGCATGGTCAGGTAGCAAAAATAATAATTTGGTGCGAGAAAGGGGCGCTAGTATTGCACCAAATAACATAAATACGTGTAATGACTAAACCAGAAGGGAAAATGAAGAGAGAGAACAATAATCATAACAAGCAAGTAGTAGTAGAGGGGTAAATACTAAATGGGTCTCAAATCTCAATATCATCGTCACAGGTACTGTGTGGACCACAGCCATCTCTTTCGGATTAGATCCTTACATACGTTGACCTTGAAGGTTTGGAGGCGTCTTGAATGAGGCTCGTGAAGCAGGAGGTCCGCAGGCAGGTTGTTCCAGGGTGTGATGGTGAAGAAGGGAAAGGATCGCAGGAGGTAGTCAGGGGCTGTGCGAGGGGGTGTCCACTTCAACTGAAAGGCATGGTGCGTCTGACGTTTTTGCCGTGTGCACATGCTAGCTACGGCAGGGGGCTTGGTTGGTGTCAGCATGGCCTTTACCTGGGGAGGCCCTGGAATGTAGTGCAGCTTGAACAAGTATGACAGGGCTGCCACCATCCGACGAAGCTGAAGACTTTGGAGGATGGTTCCAGGTCCCAGGAAATGCAGGGCACGATGCTGAACCTTGTCCAGCTGGGCCATGTTAGTTGCGGCTGCGCTCGACCAGGCCAGTGGGGCATATTCAAGTAGGGGTCGCACGAATCCCTTGTAGACCGTCACTCGACCATGGTCGTCCAGGATGGGTGCTGCCTTTCGTAGGAAACCCAGCCTTTGGGAGGCGCGCAGTGCAACACTGCGAGTGTGCGCTCTGTAGGAGAGAGTAGGGTCGAGCATGACACCCAGCAGCTTCAGGGTATCTGTCTCCTGGAGTGCTTCACCTCCAAAGGTGACTGGTGGAGTGCAGGGGGGAACGTGCTTGCGATGTAGAGTCATGCGCTGTGTCTTGGCTGGCTCAAAACAGATACGCCACTTGCGGCCCCACTCCTCAAGACTGTTGAGGGACCCTTGGAGGGAGGCGGTGGACTGTTGGAGATCGTCAGTTGGCTGTACTAAGCTGTAGAGTGTGGTGTCGTCTGCAAAGCTGCTCAGCTGCGTCCCTGGAGTTAAACATTGTTCAATGTCACAGGTGTATAGAAGGAAGAGGCTGGGTCCTAGGATGCTGCCTTGGGGGACACCAGCCTGGATGGGTTGAGCATCTGACGTCTGGCCTCCAACCACAACGCGGATGTTTCAGTTGGTGAGGTAGTCCTGTAGCCATACAAGCAGGCGTCCGTCGACGCCGGCCTGCTTTGCTTTGTACAGCACTCCTGTGTGCGATACCCGGTCAAACGCACCAGCAATATCCACGGCGAGGACCTGGACACAACCACCAGTACTTATGGTGTGGACCCATTCATGTTGGAGAGCCGTTAAGATATCTGCGGTTCCTCTACCACGTCGGAATCCAAACTGGCTGTTTGGCAACACCTCATGCTTCTCTAGGTAGTTAACCAGTTGCGTGTTTACAATGCCCTCCATGACTTTCGACATGATCGTTAGCAGTGATATTGGTCGGTAGTTCGATGCCAAAGATCTGGAGGACCGTTTGTGGACTGGGACTATATGGGCAAGTTTCCATGCCCCAGGTTGCACACCGGCTAAGAAGCAGAGGGCGAAGAGCTTTGCCAGTGGGTCTGCAAGGTCAGATGAGCACATCTTGAGCACACGAGCAGAGATGCCATCCGGTCCAGTTGCTTTTGATACAGCCAAGTTTGCCAAGTGCCGTTTGACCGTTGCTGCACGGAAGTGAATGTGCTTTAGCGTGGCATAGGCAGGTCGTTGCAGGTCAGGCAGGTCAGCAGCACAGAGGTCGTTATTGCCAAGGCTACACTTGTTCGCAAAATGCGCTGCAAAGCACTCGGCTTTCTCACGAGAAGAGTGGAACTCTTGTCCTGCAGGGTTGGTCAGCAGGGGAATGTCAGAGCAACGTCCCTTGCCTGCTGCGCTCTTGATGGTTGACCACCACTCTTTGTCCCGGAGGGAACATGCAGTAAGCTTGTTGCGAATTCTACGTTGATGTGCTAATCGCGCTGCATGACACGCTTCCACTTCGTGGTTTACAGTTGTGATGTACTGGACCTTGTGGTTATCGTTGCGGGGATTGCGTCGCCACAGCTTCCATGCCCGCTCCTTGGCATGATTGGCGTTAGAACAGTCTGGTGTCCACCATACAGGGTTGGATTGGTGCACCACAAGCTCTTTGGATGGTATGAACTGTTTCATTCGATGCATGATGACATCAGTTACGCGCTGACAGGACTGCTCCGCACACCCATGGATCTTGGCGGGCCAGTCTATGTTGCGGAGCTAGGCTCTCAGGCGGTGCCAGTCAGCAAGGGCGTATTTCCAAACCTGTCGAACAGCAGGATCTTCGCGTCGTGGATGCTGTTGGAGAAACTCGGCAATGATAACGGCATGATCAGATCGTCCAAGTGGTGCATAGGCTGTGGTGCATACGGGGTGTGGGAAATCGGAGATGATAAGATCGAGAGTATTGTTGCCGCGGGTTGGCTGGGTGACATGCTGGACAAGATGATGTGCTGCGCAGACTTCTTCCAGGCATTCACCGGCTCGGGTAGTCTTGCTACTCTGTAGCCAGGCTGAATTATGCACGTTGAAGTCCCCTGCAATTATCACATTGCTGCCAAGACGGCGGACATCATCCAAAGTGTTGTCTAGGTAGTCCATCAGGCTGGTGTCTGTCTCTGCACAAGAGCCAGGCCGGTAGAGCGCACCCAGAACAGTCTTTCTCCCGGAGTGCATTGCCAGGGAAATCCATAAGAGCTCGTGATCACGGCAATCTATATCGTCGTGGTGGGTAATGGATAGTTCACTCCTAGCCCACACTGCCACACCGCCACCATGGGCATCTCGATCCTTCCTTATTGGGGGTGAGTATCCTGGGATGGTCAACTCATGGGAGGAATTATCTGAGCAGAGCTTCGTTTCTGTTACTATTGCCACGTCTACATTATACTGCAGGATTGCATGCTGCAGGGCACCTATCTTGTTGCTCAGGCTGAATGCATTAGTCACTAGCAGTCGCAGAGGTCTGGAATCCATCATTGGGCATGAGAGGACTGGGCATCCTGCTGGGGTGGCTGCGCATCATGCTGGTCATGTTGTGGCGCAGATCCGTTTGATCTCTTCAGGTCTCCAGCCTCTGGTGGGGAGAGGTGGGAGTTTCTCCGTTTTTGGCCACTGTGTAGTGGAGTGGAGATGAAGTCTGCAGGTGGTGGTGGCGGCGGTGGTGGTGGCGGCGGGGAGGAGGAGGACGTCGAACCCGGCTGCTGTTGTTGCTGTTGCTGTTTAGTCAGAACACTGGCAGAGGTGCTGTTTCTGCTGCTGTGGCTGCGACTGCTGGTGCTGCCCTCAGAGCTGGTTTCTAAGAACCTCCATGGCCTGCAGTATACGGGCCTTGGCCAGAAGTTGGGCGCTGTCACTGTGGAGAGTAAGTGGCATCGATGGTCACTCTTGCGGAAGCACGCCCACTTTCTGACAGCCATACACTGCAGGTGTGGACAGGAATGGAGGCGCCCAGAAACTCACTCCTGGTTTTGATAAATTGCCTGAAGTGGCTGTCAGTGCTATCTGTGGCGATATTGCCCACATACACCACAGCACGCTTGTTTTTGGGTCGTTCTGAGGAGACAAGCTTCCATGAGTCATCCTCAATAACATGGAAGATTGGCTTGGATTCTGTCACATCTGTCTGGGACTTGGTGGGGATGGCATCTTGGTCGCCATCCCCTTCACACTCGTCACTGCTACGGGAGATGTTGCAGGGGACGCTGCCATCCTCTTCACACTCGTCACCGCTACGGGAAATGTTGCTGGGGACGCTACGGGACATTGTGGAGTCATGCTTTCGAGTACCTGTACTAGCTGTACCCGCACTGCCTGCTTTGGTACGCCTACGCGAAGGTTGATCCGCACCCGTACCCTGCTGTGTTTGAACTGGCCTTGGGGTAGCTTTTCGCAAGGCAATGGCGGATTCTCGGAGAGACACTAACTCTTCATTCACATCTTTGAGCTGCCTTGACAGCTCGTCAACCCGTTTGTTTAGGCGCGTCTCCCGATCAGCCGATTCCGAGACAAATGCGGCCAATGTTTTCAGGATTTCTACTACAGATACCTCAATGCCCGGCAACAACACCATCAGCCTCAGCTCTTCATCACTCAGGGCAGTCGCGCGAGTGTTTGTTCTCGTGGTGGCCCCAGGCATGGCGGAGGTCACCAATTTCTACGAGCAGTACTAAAAACACTTACTGCTACCCTACGGAAACTACCTCCAGTCCGGCCTGATGCCGGCTGGGCTCTACCAAGAAAGATTTACGGGAGCTTCAAAAAGTGCAACCTACCCCTACTGAACTTTCCCACATATGAACGAAAATTATCACTCTTTTGCCCGAAAATTCGAATGTTCATAAACTTCTTCTTAAAGTTGCAAGTCCAAAGACTATTGCTCGAAGAGCGTGGCGAGGATATACTGGAAGTTTAACATTTTGACTTACTTCAATTTTGGTCAGTCTCCGAGGGCTAAAATTCATGTTGGCTCCATTGCAATTCCAGGTTTTAACGCTGCTGCAGGTGTACACTGTCAAGTTATAAAACAAATTTGTCGGCCGCTCCAACATTTGATGGCAAAATTTCCGCACCAATTTTACATGGGTCCTGCCCCGGAATCTCAATTCAATTTTCGTCTCGCCTAAAATTCATCAACTCTCGTTTTGTTGTGAGTGGTTACGTCTGTATCCGTTATACTCATTATAGCTTGACTAGCTTGTTGTCGCCACGCTGCTTTCAATTTCTCGACAAAATAAGTATTCTAAACATCATGCTACTTGGCTGAAGGAAATGCAGTTACGAAAGTTACAAAATTACGGTTTGCGAATTATCTTGTTCCATGCTGAACGGTGCATTGCAAATGGTTTGAATTCTTCAGAAGAAATAACATTGCTACTAATCTTTATTCTGTTGTCTTGTTTAGCAAACCAAACAAAGCCACTGTATATTTCCCTTGGGCATCAGCAATGTTTCCCGAATGAACGTAAGTTCCAAGCTATTCGTTATTGTATGACATGATAATAATTCGAATCTTCCACAAAACCAACAGCGAATGCCCCATCGGCCTCTCGAAAGATATTTCGTTATTGTATGACATGATATTAATTCCAGTCTTCCACAAAACCATGGCGCAGTGTCAAGAGCGAATGCCCAATTGGCCGCTCGAAAGAGATCAGGTGTGTTTGTCACTTTCTTGCTTCGACATTGTCATGGAAACTAAAGAATGGCGGTGACGAGACGACAGTGAGGTGCTGTGTCGTGAGTGAGTGGAGGGAGTGAATGCCCCAGGGGTCTCTCGCGTTGCTACTTGCTGTGCTGTGCAATCTACCGAAGTCTCACCTGACTATCATTTTATGTACCTACAGTACTGTTGGGCGGCAAAGAATGGAGGGTCAGGGTTCTAGTCTAGCCCGTTCTTGTTTTTAGCGAACACAGCAGTTTCATTCTTAATTGATGGTGCAGTCTTACATGTACATGTATACCAAGTTATACGTCTGAGTGTACATTATAGCGTACATTGCGGTTTCCATTCTTATCTGTGAAAAAAACCCAGCGTACACCGTTCTTAAAATTTGGTGAAATTCAAGCCTGGCCGTTCTTCGGCGGTCCGTTTTTCAGCGGTCCGTTCTTCAACGGTCCATTCTTCAGCGGTCCGTTCTTCGGCACCCGACAGAACTGTATCAATAACACGCTTCGTATTATTCCCAGAGTACTGTGTAAAAGTATTTATTCTGCTTGACCCTAAACTTCGCAACTAAGATGCGCCAATATGTGTCTCTTTTTGCAATGAAAGGGTGAAGTACACTATCATTGTGTTAGCCATTCTACATAATCAACCTTCACTGACTGCATCCAGATGACCACTACAGCTGCTGTTTGAAGGAGCAGAGCACCAAGTGAAGTGTTGTTTTGCAGATGGTGTGCTGTGGCAACATGAGGTCGCCCGGAGAGCGCAACACTGTGGTGTGGTGGTAGATAACAATCTTCCACAAAAGCTTGGTTTTACAGCACCTTCGTTGCATTGCATGATTGCCATTTTAACTGCCTCCTGTTCGTGGAATCACATACATAGGACGTGACTCTTGTCAGTCTCGAAAGTCTACGAATATGTGCAAGCGAACTGCCTCATTTAGGAAAAATCCACCACCGTTTTGACTATTACAATCGGTTGGAGAGCCAAAGACTAAAATTAAAAGTGAGAGGACCATAGTTATTATTGCGTTCACAAGTTATCCGTTTCGTCCAACACTAATGAATACAAACAGGGTACTGCAACCGGTTTTTGTACGGTTTTGATTTGCAAACCTTGATTGCTCAGGTCCATTCCCACACTACTGCGAAGAATGTGTAGGTGACGTGAATCACGACAGTGGTGTGTGCCTCTGTGCTCCGGGATACATAGCGAGCGATGACAACCCCGGCTACTGTATTCGTAAGTATTTGAAGTACTTGTTTGCGGACGTGTGAGCCTGTGGAGCCAGACAAGAAAAATGCCAGTGGACCAGAGTCACATATCTGTAAAATTGAACTCGAGCCAATGTAATCATGGATACAAGGAAGGTTAGACAATGTCACGAGTTGTGACTCACTGTCTACCAAGGTAGCTAGATCACATGTAGTAAGCGAGTGCGGCAACATAGTACAAACCTGACAAGGAGAACTGAGGCATTGAACGACACGTAGCTACAACACCTCTATGAGGGGCAAACCAAAAACCTTCCAAATCGGAAGGCTCAGGCTCTTGGAAAACTCATATATTTGTAATAATAATAATAATAACAGCCTGCATGTACCGGATGGGTGAGATCACACATGGGGCTTACGCGTCTATCGGTAAAAGCAAGAGTACATAAACCAGAGTGTGCAACTCGGGATGGTTCCTGTGGGAGCGTAATTCGTGCAGTACGTCATTTCTGACGGCATGGTAAGCCACAGGTACTGTGAAAAATTGCGTCCAGTCGCGGTGGTGCAGGTGACTGAGTTTGTCGTGATTTCTGTTTTTGATACGGAAAGCCTGGTGACCTTACTTGTCGGTGGATGTACGCAGCGTACACAGTCACACAAAACACCGAAATCCTGAAACTGGACGTCCAAAATCAAGCAAACTTGGCTGATTTCCGGGCTATGACACATGAAAATTTGAGCTGATCGCAAATCGCGGCTTGGCTGATCAGCTGACCTCATCAGGGTGACGTAGTGCATGAACTGCGCTATTTCAGATCTGATGTGCGCAGTTGCACACTCTTGTTTATGTACTCTTGGTAAAAAGCAGCAGTCCATAACACCAAGAGTATGCAACTGGGGACTGGCTGCTGTAGGCCCACTGCGCAGCGGAATTCCAACATTACGTCAGTCCGCTCAGGCACAGCTGTACGAAACTCCGCATTCCGTGGCGCTTGGAACCAGCGAGCAGTACAAGCGCAACGAACATGTACATCATTTTACATTTTACATTTTACATTTTTGACGTAATGTTGGAATTCCGCCGCCCGGATCCCCATGTTCAGAGTTGCACACTCGTGGGGTTATTGACTCTTACTAAAAGAGTTAGACAAATATAAAGAAGAAATACATGACGTACACACCCTCTGCTTTCTATTATCGCGGGGAAAAGTACCTCGATTCCACCATGATCCTTTATTTTGCGCTACATATTATTATTTTTCTGGTTATCATGGTTGTGCACAAGTGAACAAAAAACATACACATGCAAAAACAAAAATAAATAAAAAAACAAAAAATTCCACCATGATCCTGGGCATATATTTGTTGTGTCGATTTCGATTTTGTAGAGCTTGTCATTTCATGAGAATACTAGACCCGACATGGCCAACACCATGCGCTCCATAAATGCTGAGTTTGCTTGGAGCTGGGACCAACATGGCTGCCCTGTATGGTCAGCTGATATAATTATGTCAAACCATTGTATTGAATGTGAGGCTGTGAGGCTTACCCCCTCACCCCCGCCGTTAGGCGCTGCATCTGCCGCTAGGGTTTGCCGGGTGTTAGCGGCCGTCGTGAGTTCCCTTCGGGAACGGACACGATAATTTACTTTTACTTACGGTATTGAATCCAGCTCATTGCAGACTGTGTGCAATCTAGATAGAGCGTCGGTGGTCATGATCTCCCAAACCCTGCACTTCACTACAGTGCAGTTGTAAAATGGCCCAATATCTGAGAAAATCGACCTTCGGGGCTGTTTTGGTGAAATTGATTTTTTTATTGCAAATTGATGTCTAGCCTTTGTAGAGTATTGTGACTTCGTTTTACGGCCATCAGACCAATATTGACCATGTAGAAATGCATTTTACAGTCAGGAGGCATGTTAATGAATTGTTCTTTTTTTTTACAATTTTGAAAGATCAGTAGGTTTGGAGCCACCAAAAATTGTTTCCATGTAATATCAATAGCCAACTACTATAGTAAAGTGTTTTGACTGTTCAGGTACTTTATTTCCAGCATTCCGTGACTTTATTGAGGTTGCGTAGTTGCAACAGCAGCAATAGCAGCATTAGAAGGAGAGGTGATTTATCTGTTCTCCTGGTGATGGATATGCTTGACAGGATAGTCTGCAACAGATTTTGACGGAACACCATGATACATGTAACAGCATTCACATACTTATTGTGAAGGAGTCAAACAGAGCAAATGCGTCCAGATTCGCCTTGTTGCACTTTGTGGAGACTGACCATTTCCAAACATCAGTAACACAGCCTGACAAGCGTTTCACACCACCAACTCAAAAGTAACAGAATGTTACTCGAGATTGCCCAGCCTCACGTGCTCCGTGATTGTCTGATTCGCCATTATTAGCTCGAGTATCGAGCTTGCCATCCAAAACATTTTAGGTTCATCGTCGCAAAGAAAACTCGCATCATTTCGTGCTGTTTTAGCAGGTCTGGCGGGACACTCAGGAAACAGTTCTGCCACCCGCGCAAGGCCGGCCAGCGACCTTGCAAGCGGCGTACCCTCAGGAATCCACCTGGTTGTCCTTGCCTGGAGCTGTAGCAGCTATCGCTGAGGCAGACTGTGGTTGGCCTTGATCATACTCATCCAGGCCAAGTCCTCATCATCGTCGCCCCCGACAGGTAAGTACCGCTTGTCACTTGCGATCGATTCGCCTGACATGCTCTCTCAGAACTAGAAGCGCTGTCGCCGCTTGACCGGATATCCACAAAGAACGATGCATCACCGTCCATGGGATCGCGGCTGCTGTGCTCCGTGAGCCCAATAACCAACTGACACAAGAATCGCCTTCAATTTTCTTCCGCCATTGTCGTCTCTGCACTTCGCTTTGACGGAATCGATTTTTTTGCGAACAAATTTGTTTTTAGTGTTTTCTCAAAAAACCCGCGTAGCCCCGAAGGTCGAAAGTCTCAGATATCGGGCCAAATGATGATCTCTTGCTCCACTTGTATTACTGTAAAACCAGAAATTTTCGATGGAGTTGTATTTCCGGTATCTTCGGTACTGGTTATTTTACCGAAAATTCAACAATGCCCTGCTGCGCAAGGCGCAAAAGGCATTTTTGTACCTGGAAAACTGGTTTACCGACATTTTTGCGCTACCGAACAGTTGATTTTGGGAAATACCGAAAATATTACACCGAAGCTAAAATTCCTGGTTTTACAGTATGCGCAGCAAAGTTCCAACATGATAGATGCCCAAGTATCAACAGGGAACATGGCTAGAGATGGCTGGGCGCAGTGTGAAATACGTGTGATATAATTACGTTAGTGTAGCGATAGACCTGTGATGTTGCACATAATGGCACAAAAAATGGTTGGTGTAAGTGTGTGCGGTCTGTTTGTACAGTGACTAGCAAACAACTGTGGGGAGGGTGCATGCATGTGATTGTGTGTGGGTACATGTACTTGTGTGTGAGTGTGTGCGCGAGTGTGTGTGCAAGTGTGTGCATGTGCTTGTGTGCACACGTGCCTGTGCATTTGGCGTGTTTATGCATGGGCATTTAGGTGTGTGTTTATGTGCATATTGTGCATTCGTGAGTGCATGCATGTGTGTGTGTGTGTGTGTGTGTGTGTGCGTGTGTGTGTGTGTGTGTGTGTGTGTGTGTGTGTGTGTGTGTGTGTGTGTGTGTGTGTGTGTGTGCGTATTTGTGTGTATATGCATTTCAGCTTGTCCTCCAGGAACAGGGGGCCTTCATTGCGGGCTCAAAACTCGATGCGGCCTGAATGACTCATGCAATGGCAGAGGGATATGCAGCATTCCAAGTGGACTCTGCGACTGTCAATTTGGCTGGGCAGGCGAAGCGTAAGTTCACACTTTCCCGACACCCCCTTTCTAATTTAAGCACTATCGAATAGCAAGAAAATAATCACGAATGGACTACTGGTAAAATATTAGAAAGTAGGGGTGAAACGGTTCGGGTAAGGAACCGGTTTTGGAACCTCCAGCTGAAAAGAATTGGGTACCCGCTTCGTCAAATTTCGAACCGAAACTCGAAAAATCTCGTTCTTGTACAAATACTTGTACACGTCGTCTACTCAAGATTTTAAATGTATTACCTTACGATCCCCACTCTTCCAAAGAGTTCTCTGGTCATTATCTTCTTCGCACTTGGACTCTCCGATGTCTCATTCTTGCTCGTAAAAATGGTTTTTTCTAAAAAATAATTGTCGCGAATGCATTTTGTCGGTCTGGAGAAAAGAGTGCATGGAACCGATACCCGAACCGTGGGAAACAGTGCTGGCATTCGGGTACCCGAACGTGAAAAACATGGAACCGTTTCACCCCTATTAGAAAGATGCACAGGATAGAGAGAGAAATGAAGAATCCTAGGACATTCATGTAACCGGCTGGCAAGAGATTATTCAGAATCAAAATATCACATGCTGCTTGCTTGGGTTGCACCCTCTTACTTCGCATGCGTGCCTCAAGGTGGCCATGAAGTCGAGACACCAGTTCGGCGAAACTCCCCAAACCTCACCACCACTGCCATGATTGAAGTTATACATGCTTCCCTAGCTGCATCTCATGTTTGGCTTTTAAGTGGTCTTTGTAAAAATAAAAAATAATAATATTATAATAATGTAGAAGAGAAAAGGACATATGGATACAGGTTAAGATGTTAAGATGTTACAGTTTGTTTGTTTGTTTGTATACTTTATTTGAATTCGCAAGTCCAAACGAGCACAAATGCTCAATGACAAGGCAGCGAATATGTTATTATGTTACAGGGAAGGAGGGTTGGGGAGAAAATAAGGAGAAAAAGAGAGAATGGTAGATATCTCAATGAAGAGTGAAGCATTATCAAACTACAAGTAAGCCAGCGAACGATAAGTCGACAGTTCTGTAACCCACCTGATAAACTAAGTACTTTTTTCAGGCGTGCAGTGGACTGTCATTAAAACAGAAACAGAAAAATAATAATAAGGCACCCATTTTGTTTGTCCAGGGGATGGCCCACGCCTGGTAAAGAGAATAAATAGAGAAAAAAAGAAAGAAAAAAAATAGAAATAAAATAAAAAACAAACAAACAAAGTACTAACAGTTACTGCTAACGAGAGTACTTGCTACTAACATCGGGAGGATAAAAGGCCCAACCCTGCCCTGCCAGTTACGGACTTACGGGGGTCGCCATGGCTAATAATAAAAATGGTAAACAGTGAAAATCAATCACAGACAGGAAGCTGTCTCAGGGCAAGTTTCTAATCATAACATCAGGAAGATCGGAGGGTATACGGTACGACGGCAGCTTTGAAGCTGCTGAGAGACGACAGTACTCTGACTGCATCCGGTAGGACGTTCCAAAGGGCACTACCTCGGGAGGCAGGGCGAGATCGTCCGGCGCGGGTTCGCGTAGCTGGTAGACGGAGCCCCAGGGCGAGATCCAGGCGCGTCCTACGATCCGTGCAGCGTACGAAGAGCTCCTGGAGGGATGGACTCGCACTGGCGTGTACGGTAGTGATGGAGAGTTACTGTTAACTCGTATCCATATGTCCTTTTCCCTTCTACATTTATTTATGGCTCAACATCCGAGTTTCAAATTATAATAATAACGAAGGATTAATTATAGAAAGAAGAGCAAAAGGACCAATGAACTTCATGTTATGCTCCAATGTCCACTAACAGCACCAGCTACTAAACGGTCAGTGGCGTGCAATGTTATCGCATGGGCTGATTATTTAGTAACTGGTGGTGTTAGTGGACATTATAATTATCGAAACATGTAGTTCCTGGGTGCTTTTTCTTTTCTTTCAATAAAAACATGCATCAGCCAAAATAGCGAGTATCTCCGTCTGTTGTTGCCCTGTGTAGATGTGAAAAGCCTATCTCCGTCTGTTGTTGCCCTGTGTAGATGTGAAAAGCCTATCTCTGTCTGTTGTTGCCCTGTGTAGATGTGAAAAGCCCTGTGACGTGGCCTATCAGCATTACGCCAAGCTGTCAGAGTGCAAGTCCGACTGCTCGGAGATATGCTCCGGTCACGTGTCCTGCATGTTGGAGATACCCGGGGTACCGGCGGACATGCCCTGCCTCTGCCCACCCGGGTTGAATGTCCCCCCGCCGAAGGGTCACGACCAGGTCAGTAACTTTCGTTCTTGGCATCTAGAATGTCGTGCCACAAGGGGAGGTATGCATCAAAGGTGGCCGTCACCATGTTGCGGGGCAAGTTGCCCCATTTTGGCATTTACAAACTAGTGTTTGCGTGTGGCTGTGTTTGAGTTTGCGGGCTGCGGAGAGGGAGGGTGTGCCTGTGTCTGAGGGTGAGGGGAGAGGTTGGGGTGTGGATGGGGGGGGTTGTTTTGTGGGACGGGGTGTTTTGTGGGGGGTGCTGTGTGCTCAGACACGCGTGTGTGCATTTCAATGTGAGTGTGCATGTGTTCTTCCGTATGGATGTGCGCTTCGTCTTGTCGCCGCTGGGCAGAATCTAAAGCAGAAGTATTTATGCTCTGAGCATTGCACTGGAGATCGTTATGGACACAACTGTATGCACAGATGCAACTGCACACGAGGTGTATGCAATAACCGCATCGGCTGTGTATGTCCAGATGGATACATGGGAATAAAGTAAGTTTGTACCCATGTAAGGGTGTGGCTGGTCCCCCTTTTGGATGGTGGGGGAGGGAGGGTGCACGGCCGCATTAGGGATACGATGGCCGGTGCATGTCATTCATGGTCATTACGTGCATGCTGAATTTTTTCGGGGGTGCATATACGGGCTATGTGGGGCACATGTAGGAAGCTTCATTGCTAGAATCCACACCTAGGGAGTATTCACCCTGACAAAGAGCCAGCCCTGGAAATTTGGTGACGTACTAAATGCTTTGATTTCCGGTGAAGAGAATCCGGTACAACCATTTGAAATATACATGCACCCTGAAAATTCTCGTCAATACGCGGCCTTGTACACTGGAAACGTCATAGCACGGACTCAGAGCCTGGGTGTCATGTAGAATTCCTGAAGCAACACCTGCACGGCGATTTTTATTTATTTATTTATGTATTTCACTCAACTCGTGGTCCATGACGAATTGGCACGCAAAGTGCGAGAGAGGGGTGATAGCCAACCACGGCAAGAAAAGAAAAGAAAAAGAGATTTGACCATTCACTGTGTTAACGCTATGATGTGTTTCAGGATCCAGGAATGGTGTCTGTTCGATTTTTTCCTTTTTGATTAGCTGTGACCAGAAATGCGCGAAGAATTACTATGGCCCACAGTGCCGCAAAAGCTGTGATTGTGCCGAGGGGTGTCATCCATCCACCGGCGTCTGCAATCCATGTGAAGACCCACGGCATGGCAATGGAACTGTGTGTGTTCACTGCAACTGCAATTCCAATCCCGACGAACTGTCAGTATGTATAGCAACCCAGTTTGAGTGCGGGTGAGTGAGAACGAATTCCCAATGTAAAAGTCAAGCAGTTTAGTCTTATATATTATAATCATTCAACACCTACCTTCACCGATAAGCTATGTATTAGCGAAATACAAAATTCGTCTACGGAAGTGTCCTCGCGTTGGTGATGGTTATGTGCAGGAGTGTCTAGTCGGCTAATGTCGCAGTGTAATGGTGGAGGTGACTCAATATGAAAGACAGGAAGATCAATTTGCTGATGGACAGGAACTCAGAAAAGCAAAACAGTATGATACAATAGCCTCGCCTACCACCCAGGGCATGTCTCGCAAAATAAGTTTTCATTTTCTTGGTAGAATATGTCACGCCCCCACCTTGCTACTCAGCAAATTCCCTACCCGCCGATGAAAAGCGCCTTCTCGACCTCCACCACTAGTTACCTATCTGAATGCAAATGGCCCATGCAATTCAGTGTTGTCACGCTTCCATAGTTTCCCACGAGATTTGCAACTGAAATTTCTGTAACTCCAACCAACAAGCATTTGCCTCCATTAACAAATCACATTTCACTAGAAAAAAGCTCTGCAGAGTGCAACAATTGAGGTTTTCACGATCTTAGATATTGTCGCCTTGAAGTCGACCCCACGTGGACGACTGTGTGACACAGCAGGTCGGCGGTTTATATCGACCTGGTCCATGAGCCAGATCAGAATGAATATCTTGACTATCCTATCCGATCAGTCATATTTGCCCTCCTCTTTTTTTTATAGAAAAGAAAAAGGGAAAAGGAAAGGGACTAAGGTCTAAGGAACTACAAGTTCCACTATAATGTCCTTTAGCACCACCAGTTACTAAACAATCAGCTCATGCGATAACATTGCGATAGCATTGCCAGTAGTTCCTTAGTGCTTTTATCCTTGGCTCTGCATCCGAGTCCATTCTCTTCTCTTCCCTTCTGGTATTCTTATTCGCAGGTGTGTGGCAGGCTATCGGCGTGACAACGGGATCTGCGTGCCGTGCCAGGAAGGACGCTATGGCAAGAACTGTTCCAAACGGTGCGATTGTCAACACAATGAAGGCTGTCACCCCATGACAGGCATATGTAGACACGAAGGTATTGCCATGCCGATGCAATTTCTACTGATGACATTGATCCTAGAACATTGAGTGATGGTATATACAGAAGCCTTGCTTGGTCGCAAGACCGGGACTCTGCCAACCGGTTTATGGTTGTAGTCAGGAGCACTACGCGTCCTCGCCTTGTAACATGCTGTCAAAATCGAAAAACAACATTGAGTGATATAGGTCGGCGTGGAGACAAGAGACCTAATATCGATCAAAGTAAAGTGAGCACGCTAATACAGCGAGAGCAATGGAACATGTCCCTTTGTTCTCGTGATATGAGTGCGCTGACTTTTGTTCACTTTCATCGATATTAAAACAGAGAGGACCATTTGTTTACAAGTTATCCGCGACCCAAGTTTACACAAGTTTGGAAGTCATCCGTTATCCGTTTTGCCCAACTCTAACTTATGTTCCTCTATTTTTCACTTTGGCGCTCCACACCAGGTCTAATAATTTGGTAACGATATAGGATGTTGAATATCGAATTGGCTTTGTAAGGCTACTTTGTGTGCACACATATGTCACACTGCCAGGTAAAACACTGCGAGCTATGTCAAGCAATACGCCAGCATTGTGTTGACATCCGAATATGAATTCTAGGTTTGCCATTTGCAACTCGGTTGCATCTTTCTTCTGGCTTGCAGGCGCTGCGTCAACAACAGTGGAAGTCACGCCAGCAACGACGTTGGTCTCAACGCCTAGTTACCCCGGTCGTGGCACCAACATCATCAGCTCTGCCAGTGAAGTTCCACCGAGTACAACTAACTCTAGAATCCTAACAGCTACCCTGCTCCAAACCCAAGCTCCCATCACTAGTGCTGAGCGCAACGGACAGCCACGACAAACATTACGTAAGCCTCTTACTCCATGCACAAGTAGAAACCCCGGTAGATGTACTGTAAGACATGTATATATAACGAAGAAGTAAATCTAACGTTTAACGGATGACATTTCTTCGTTATAATACGATCCGTTGAGGCCATACTCCTTCATATAATATGTTGTGTGTGAATATGCCAGAATACTGCAAGATTGTTAACCTCGTTAACCTACGGATTTTGGACAATCGTTAACCCTTTACCGGTCTACCATAAGCGTACCGATACTATAGTATCGGTACGTTTGGCCCTCATTTTTTTGGGGTATTGTTGCTAGGAGACTGCTAAAATGGCGCTCTACGCGTAGCTGAGGTCCAAGGCTTTCTGACGATGTGCAAAACAACCATGCTTACCATACAAATTTTTGCCGTATCGATCGACTGAAGTTTGTTGAAATTGGAAAAGACGACCATCCGCCATGCGCGCATTTCAAGAATGCGAGTGCCTCTCTTGGGGCCGTGTTTGACAAGCGCTCTGAGAGCAGTAACATCACCAGTCCAGGCTGGATGTCCCGGGAGGTTTTGCAGTGTAGTGTGTTGAGAAAAAGAGCTCCGTTGAGTCCTGCTAGTTCAAAAATATATCATCCACGAATGAAGAAACAAAATTCTCCAAACAGAGAGGAAGCCTTCCTGCTGCCGACACGGCGACAGCGACTGTCACAAGGACTCGTCAGGTGCGATCAGCTGATTCGCCTGGCCGCGAGAATCATGGCATGCGTAAGCTCGCGCCTGAGTACTTATCTGAGCGAGAGTGAATCTGACGCGAGCAGCGCTGAGATGACCAAACCGAAACTGCGAAATCGTGCAATGGGAATTGCTGCTGCTGGCGTATCGCCGATGGCGAGGTGTTGGTGTTCAATGGCGGTATTGTAGAGAGCCTACATTTCTTGTAAAGACGTAGCCCTTACCTGATTGTTTATCGTACGACTTCAGCTCCATCACGAACTTGGTATGCCCTTCGTGCTGTGATATTCGTGTATTTCATCCGCAATTGTATTGTCTCTCAACTTGAAGGGCTACCATGGGCCCTATCCTTGCCTCGACCTAGTCATATTTGAATTTTCTGGACGCGTTCAGGCACACAGATTTTGAAAATATATAGTTTACCTATACCTACAACACATGGTTCTTGAGTTATTGCTGTTTGTGTGTACATGTATTTGCGTGACCACCCCTCACATACATTGAGTTAGACCGGCAAAGGGTTAAATATGCGACTCGTTATAATAACATGTCTGACAGTAGTCGGAATACTCTATGGTCATGTTGGTATGCTGAAAGCAGTAGCTATACTTGCTGGTAATACTCATAAAAAGGACACGCTTCAGGCTCTTTACGAACATCTTGAAAGTGTTTGGTTTCACAAGTATACTTTCGAGCCTTCTCGTCAGGTGAAATACAGGCAAAGGAAAACTTTCAAGATGTTCGTAAAGAGCCTGAAGTGTGTCCTTTTTATGAGTTTTATCGCATTTTTGTCTCAGAGGAAAATGTGAACTTGCTGTTACTGTAAGGACCAGGAAACTGTGTTGCATATAAATCACCTCTCGACAGTGACGTGTCATGCTTTTGTTTTGGTTTTTCATATGATGACACTGTGTGTCTTCCGTATGCGTTTGACTGGTGCATGTGCAGGGCAAACAGTCGGTTATGTCACCCCCGCACACCCAAGCTACTCAGCAATTATCTCCCAGAGTGATGGCAGCAACAGCATCAGCCCTGGTGATGAAGATGCACTGCGAACAACCGATTCTAACACGGGACGAACTACCCTGCCCGAAATCGCAGCTCCATACTCAACCACTAGCAGCCACTCAGAAACAGCAGGTGCAACTCCCAACACGAACACCACCAGCAACTCAGAAGCAGCAGATACATGGGGTGAGTTTTCATAATATATTAGAGAGGTTAAAATGCGCGTTATTTCCAATTTGCCGCGCAATTTCGCGTCAAATTCGGCGTAAAATTCCAAATTTCTCCAAATTTTGACGTGAGCAGCAGGTTACTCGCGTTGATTTTTCGACGTGCGAGCCAAATAACGCGAGCTGAACTTTCGCATCACGTCAGAAATAACGCGCATCTTAACCGCTCTACTGTCTTGACCTTGACCTTGACGTTCATAGTTCATACGCTTTTCCTTCAAAGGTTTCACCATCTCCGTCAGAGCAGAGAGGTAGGGAGGTTTATGAGCAGCACGTCTGACGGGGCACGACATCACTAGATCAGCAACGCACGACAGAAAACAATTTGGCACAGATGCGTTCCTAGCCAGATTGAGTCAGCGACAATGCGTAAGCATATGTAGTGGGTAACCGAGTGGAGGCACGACATTAAACACGAATTAGCTGGTAATTAAACTTTCCCAGGTACACACCTGGATTGTATGTAAGAAAGAGAAGCGGCAACGAGAGAGCTTGGAAGCTCAGGCCCCTATGATATGCTTTTTTTGCCTTGATGACCTAGACAAAAAAAGCATAGGGATGTTATAAATTCTTTTAAGTTTCTACTTTTTGTTTTTAGACATAACCTGGGATTCGAACACGCACTATCGCCCTGCATGCATCCCCTGATACACTTCGCAGACATACTAATTCTTCCAAGTTGCTTCACGTTATTTAGAAAAGCGATCCTGTCAGCTTTTCAATTATTGTGTTTGATCTTGTATTCGAAAGCCCAGCCGTCTTTGATTGTATGGAACGGTACGGGATAGGTACGGGACAGGTACAGGACAGGTACGGGACAGGTACGGTTGAGAGTAATACGACACGGTCTACCGCCTTGATGACGGCAAAAAAAGAAAGGGGGTATTATAAATTTTTCAATTCTCCTATTTTTTTCAGGTATTACCTGGGATTCGAACCCGCACTATCGCCCTACATGCATTCCCCCTTACACTTCGCATTCATACTCATTCTTCCAAGTTGCTTCACGTTATGATCTTGCGTTTGAAAGGCCTATTTGAATATTGCGGCCACCTGTATGTGGCCAGCTGTGTTTGATGGTACGATACGGTACGGGACAGATACGGGATAGCGCCAGGCGTGACACAAACACACAAACACACAAACAAACACCAAATTAAAGCTGTGAGAACCCTGGCTAGCGCCCGACATTACTGAAGTAACGTCTTCTGCATAGCTACGGGAATAAAAGAACTTTCTCCGGTACACACCTGGAGGTTGAACAGCTCTTCTGCTCGGCTTTCTTGTTGTTATAAATTAATGAAATCAGTGAAGCGCAGCAGCATTTATAGGGAGGCAGACTCGGTGCGCTAACACACGAGGATACGCTACATATACGCTTTAGTAGTAGTCAGCTACAATCAAGCAGGACAGGGATACTACACATACATTAGCATCCCACCTTCTCATAAACTTATCTCTTATTGGCGATAGTGCTATCGTAAGAATAGAGAATTCAAAAACATGTTCAGGGCAGCCTAATGGAGTGCTGTATACCCGCCTACACAGCTGCTTGCCTTAATTAAGAAGAGGAGTAAGAACATGTTGTAACACTGAGCCCCATGCACAGTAAGTAACAGCCAGCAGTCCATAGTTTGACGATTTTCGACGTGTGCGAGCAGCTCATAGTCGCAACACTTTCTCTCCTTCCTACTCCAAACAATTCTACCCAAATGCTAGTACTAAAATGCTTCTGCCCAAATGCTACTCCCCAAAGTGTAGATACGTCTCAAAGTAACCTACATCGCATGTGTGGGTTTTTTCTTATCTTTCTTGGCCACAATTGAAACCCGAATTTACTTTTCTGCATCCGGTTGTTCCAGATCCCTCAAGCACACTGGACAGGACCAGTCTCCTTTGGCTGGTTGGTTCGTTTGCCACATGCTTTCTCTGGGCCCTGGCGGTCATTGCAGTCCTGCTGGTGCGTAGTAGATGTCGGCGTAAGGGGAGACGGGAGAGCAAGAGCAGTGTCTACATTGCAAGCTATGGCTCACCGAGTACAACAAGCGACACCAGAACGCAAGGGAGGTAAGCAATCCGCCTTCCGATGTACGACACAACATGCCCGCAGGTTGAATTGGGTTGGATATGTACATTTTTTTAAATCACACTTTGTCGTTATTAGCCCCCAATCCAAACGCCATGCAAAACCCTCCATGGCTAACCGGAGTTCTCCAACCCGTCACTTGACAGTTCGAGTCTGTGTGTATATGTGTGTGTGTGTGTCCTCTGCCGCCGCGTGTGCGGCTCGCCCTCTCATGCTGTAAGGCCCACTGTGGAGCCTGTGGTCGGTGCTGCCGTTCTACTCGTGGATTCTAAATCCATAGCTGCCAAAGATGGCTCTCTCGTCGTGCCGATTGAACATGGTAACTGATCTCTTGGCAGACTGCCGACTTTCTGCCGTCGCTCGTCGTTTCCATGTTGTCGGCCCCACAAGGGGACACGTGACCGTAATGGCAGGGTTTACCAGGACCAGGACCAGGTGTATGTGTGTGTGTGTGTGTGTGTGTGTGTGTGTGTGTGTGTGTGTGTGTGTGTGTGTGTGTGTGTGTGTGTGTGTGTGTGTGTGTGTGTGTGTGTGTGCGTGCGTGTGATGTGCCTGAGCCTTCGCCCCGAGTGGTATGTACGGTATGCGGACGGGATTTTGCACGGAAAAGGAGACATGGCTCGGCATAAGTGTCTGGAGGAGTGTGCGCGGCCTGTGTCTGAGCAGCGGGGCGCCAGTCAGTGCTGGCGGTGTGGGCGGTGGCTGAGAAGCCGCGGTGGCTTGGTCCGGCATGTGTGTGCCTCAACGGTGGATGCCGCAGTGCCACCTGGAACTACCGGAACGTCGGCACCGGCGGAGAGATGTTGTGCCGCGCATTGTGACAGGTGTGGTCGCTGCTTTCACGGTGCCCGGGGATGGGGCAGGCATCGCTGTTCAAGGGTGGCGCATAGACCAATAGCACAGGAGCGCTCAGCCTTCCAGCACGTGTGCATATGCGGCAAGCGGATGCGACTACCCGTGCACCTGGAGCGTCATCGAGCGTCGTGTCCTCTCTCTCTCTCCCTTCTCAAGTTTCCCAGTAATGGGATCACGTGACCCTTTTGCGGCAGTGACTCTACAGGACAGGACAGGACAGGTGTGTGTGTGTGTGTGTGTGTGTGTGTGTGTGTGTGTGTGTGTGTGTGTGTGTGTGTGTGTGTGTGTGTGTGTGTGTGTGTGTGTGTGTGTGTGTGTGTGTGTGTGTGTGTGTGTGTGTGTGTGTGTGTGTGTGTGTGTGTGTGTGTGTGTGTGTGTGTGTGTGTGTGTGTGTGTGTGTGTGTGTGTGTGTGTGTGTGTGTGTGTGTGTGTGTGTGTGTGTGTGTGTGTGTGTGTGTGTGTGTGTGTGTGTGTGTGTGTGTGTGTGTGTGTGTGTGTGTGTGTGTGTGTGTGTGTGTGTGTGTGTGTGTGTGTGTGTGTGTGTGTGTGTGTGTGTGTGTGTGTGTGTGTGTGTGTGTGTGTGTGTGTGTGTGTGTGTGTGTGTGTGTGTGCGTGTGCGCGTGCGTGTGATGTGCCTGAGCCTTCGCCCCGAGTGGTATGTACGGTATGCGGACGGGATTTTGCACGGAAAAGGAGACATGGCTCGGCATAAGTGTCTGGAGGAGTGTGCGCGGCCTGTGTCTGAGCAGCGGGGCGCCAGTCATTGCTGGCGGTGTGGGCGGTGGCTGAGAAGCCGCGGTGGCTTGGTCCGGCATGTGTGTGCCTCAACGGTGGATGCCGCAGTGCCACCTGGAAATACCGGAACGTCGGCACCGGCGGAGAGATGTTGTGCCGCGCATTGTGACAGGTGTGGTCGCTGCTTTCACGGTGCCCGGGGATGGGGCAGGCATCGCTGTTCAAGGGTGGCGCATAGACCAATAGCACAGGAGCGCTCAGCCTTCCAGCACGTGTGCATATGCGGCAAGCGGATGCGACTACCCGTGCACCTGGAGCGTCATCGAGCGTCGTGTCCTCTCTCTCTCTCCCTTCTCAAGTTTCCCAGTAATGGGATCACGTGACCCTTTTGCGGCAGTGACTCTACAGGACAGGACAGGACAGGTGTGTGTGTGTGTGTGTGTGTGTGTGTGTGTGTGTGTGTGTGTGTGTGTGTGTGTGTGTGTGTGTGTGTGTGTGTGTGTGTGTGTGTGTGTGTGTGTGTGTGTGTGTGTGTGTGTGTGTGTGTGTGTGTGTGTGTGTGTGTGTGTGTGTGTGTGTGTGTGTGTGTGTGTGTGTGTGTGTGTGTGTGTGTGTGTGTGTGTGTGTGTGTGTGTGTGTGTGTGTGTGTGTGTGTGTGTGTGTGTGTGTGTGTGTGTGTGTGTGTGTGTGTGTGTGTGTGTGTGTGTGTGTGTGTGTGTGTGTGTGTGTGTGTGTGTGTGTGTGTGTGTGTGTGTGTGTGTGTGTGTGTGTGTGTGTGTGTGTGTGTGTGTGTGTGTGTGTGTGTGTGTGTGTGTGTGTGTGTGTGTGTGTGTGTGTGTGTGTGTGTGTGTGTGTGTGTGTGTGTGTGTGTGTGTGTGTGTGTGTGTGTGTGTGTGTGTGTGTGTGTGTGTGTGTGTGTGTGTGTGTGTGTGTGTGTGTGTGTGTGTGTGTGTGTGTGTGTGTGTGTGTGTGTGTGTGTGTGTGTGTGTGTGTGTGTGTGTGTGTGTGTGTGTGT